AAGGATTTATTAAGTTTATCTAACTCATATTTGGATTCATCCTTAACTTTTTCTATCTTTGCTTTATACTCTCGATGCAAAGTTTCATTACATTTCTCATTAACATAATTCTGAAGTTTAATATTCTTTTCCAGCTCAGCATACTTTGCTCGCAATTCTTGATTCTCTTTCAAAAGAATATCTGCCATTAGAAAAAAATTGATCAGTTAAGGATCTATGCAGTGAAATCAAATAAAAGAAATATGAACAGTTAAGCTCAAAAATAATAGAAAAACACAAACACTGAAAAACACACGCAAAAACAAATATACAATGATCCAAAAAGAAATCTAAACACAAATGATTCTAAGAAACTATAAACAGTCCAAAAACTGAGTAGTCCAAACCAATCACAAGAGCAACGCTTTACAATACAGATGTAGTACAAAAAAAATATTCTATCTGCACTTGAAATTCTATCCAAATATCCACGTGAATGCTTCTCTTATCAGTTGCTTCAATTGGGCTGCTGTGACTTGATCTTAATCCCAAAAAGCAAAGTCAATTCAACAGGCTTTTAAATCTAGTTAAACTGTCCAAAACCAATCCTTGCTATGCTTGAAAACCTTCCAAAATGTATTATGATTTACCTGACACAAAAACAGTCAAATCAATAAACAGCAATACTAAGACAGTTTACAAAACCTGTTTTTTCAGCATGCAACAATACTAAAACAATTTACTTCACCTGAGCTGCTGTTTTAGACAACAATTTACTAAAACAGTGTATGCTGCCAAATCACAAATACTTAAACAAACATCATTAGTAGCTTATGACAAAACCTCCTGTTTTAGTTGAGCAACTGCTTCAAAACAGCCTTAAACAGTCTAGCAAACAGCAAAGGAAGCACTCATTCAACAAAATAACCTGTTGTCAAGACATATGAAGCAAACAGTCTTGATATATCAATAAAAACAGTTTGCTGTCAAACAAATACTGTTTAACTGTTTTGTAGTTTCAAACAGTCCCAAAGCAGATGGATCTGGTAAAACAGATCGAAAGCAGGGCAAGACCTTCTATAAATCTGTTTTAAATCTGCTGCTGTGATCCAGTCTATAAATTGCAAACACAGATAAATCTTCTGTTAAACCTTCTGTTACCAGAACTGGAACTGCTGTCAAGATGGTTGCTGTAAAAAAATTGCTGCTACTGTTCTTGTTTCTTCTCTACACCAACAGCTTCCAAACTGTTAATGCTTGAGTCACTTGTTGCTGTTACTGCTGTACCAAACAGCCCATTTACTGCACTAAATGATCTCAAAACAGCAAACAAGAACCTGTTACATAACCTGTTAAGAACCTGTTACAAAAACCTGTTTTTAAACTCATATCACAATCAAATGTATGAGATTATTTATATCTGTCAAATGCAAGAAGTTAAACAAACACACAATTAAAACAGCTATGAACAATATCTGACAAGGTTTGAGTGTAAACCGGACACTGTATAAGAACAGAACACTTCAATCTCAATCGATTCTTGACAAGATATTGAACAAATTACCAATTTGAATCAAGAATCAACTAACAATCAAGAATCTGGATAAGGGGAATTGAACGGTTTAATAAACCGGATACTTATCCGGACACTGAAAAACTTGAAATGTGACAGCTTCTTGCTACCCCGGACAATAAACAGACAGACTTGAACCCAAATTCGAAAACATGTCACTGGGTAAATGAAATCAAGCGGATTAGAAGTCCGCTCAAAAACTTTGATGTCCAAATTCTAAGTTCTAAACCGCTCGAATACCGGACATGAGGTGATCGGTTTAGGTATAAACCGCTCAAATTGAAAACCTTGAAATGAGATGAAATTGAAAAGCAAACCTGATGAGTTGTGCGGTTTAGCTTAAACCACTCAAGGAAAACTCAGAATCCGCTCAGAAAACCGATGAAACTTTGTGCGGTTTACCCTTAGCCGAGAAATCGATTGAAGTCTTGAAGCAAACCGGAGAACAATCCGATCAATAGGTGTGCGGTGTAATCTCCTCCCTTCTCAAGTGGCGTGCGGTTTAGGTATAAACCGCTCAAATTGAAAACCTTGAAATGAGATGAAATTGAAAAGCAAACCTGATGAGTTGTGCGGTTTAGCTTAAACCACTCAAGGAAAACTCAGAATCCGCTCAGAAAACCGATGAAACTTTGTGCGGTTTACCCTTAGCCGAGAAATCGATTGAAGTCTTGAAGCAAACCGGAGAACAATCCGATCAATAGGTGTGCGGTGTAATCTCCTCCCTTCTCAAGTGGCGTGCGGTTTAGGTATAAACCGCTCAAGAATCCGATGAAGCTTCGTTCGGATTAGACTTTGTTTGGATGAAGCTCAAGAAATCGATGAAGTAACCGGACTCTTATCCGGTTAAGAGGTAGCACATAAGATGGCACTTAGCTGTATACAAAATGATGGGCTTAAAAAATATGAAATTGGGCTTTAGAATATTAGGCGGTTTAACAAAAATAAAAACAAATTCAAACTAAAAATCAGATTAAAACTAACAAAAACACAAAAACTAAAAGAAATTTAAGAAAAAAATGGATCAAAACACTGATTTACGAAAAAAATTAAGAACACGAAAAAAATTTAAAATACAAAAACCGATTAAATCTTGATTAAAATTGATCAAAACATAAAAGTTTGTGAATAACAAAGATTCACAATACGATTTCGAGCATTTTGATCATATTTTTAACACAAAAACACAAGATTTTATGAGAAAATCGGATCAAACAGAAAAAAAAAAAAAAAAACACGAAGAACACGAAGAACAAAAAATTCAGAAATTAAAAAAAAACTTATCTGATCAATTCTTTCAATCTGATTTCTTGCATCCCGCTCTGATACCAATTGTGTGTCCACAATCACTGATCAATTCTTCATATTAAGCTCTATCCATGGCAGATTCAAGATAAACATTCAAGAACACTTTATGAATATTGAGAGAGAAAGTCAATCCTCTCAATTCAGTCAAACCTCTTATTACGAATCTAAATATTACAATTAGCTCACTTACTCTAATTACAAAGATTACCACCCTATTTATATGGTCAACATATTAATACAAAGTCAAAGTCAAACTAGTCTAAGAAAGTCAAACACGCTGACTTTTACTATTATAGACTAAAATTAATCTTTCAAGACGAATACAATTAATACTGATTTCTCAGTCCTAACAAATTGGTATATACTCCTCATGCTTAAATACGAGATGTCAGGTCGAGTGCATATCATGACATAGATGATAGATCAAATGCAAAAATATATAGTCTTACTCATCCCTTCACTCTCTTGAGATGTCAAGGGACATTGACCCTTAGAAAGTGATATGCCATGAGACATGGGCATGAACCCTCTCTTGCTCTCATACATGTGGAACCACTTCAACACTTTGTTTATATATGTAACATTAGACAAGCAATTTCCACGATCTATCTATGTAGATCCGAATAGTCTTAATACATAGGTTCCTTCACTTTGTTCTTCCATTGAATAACAGTTCCCTAACCAAGCCTTTACAGATTCTAGTTTTGGAATATCCTTGTTTGTCCCAGCCGGGACTACAAGAGTTTAGAGGAATAGTTTATAGAAGAGGGGGGGGGGGGGTTTGAATATAAACACAAAAAACTTTCGTATTTAAAAATATATATTGATTAGAAGGATCAATATAGATTTTTTACAGATTGTTTGTGGAAATAGAAAAAGGTAAAGATAACCTATCTATAACAATCTAAAATTACACACAAATATACTTAGCAAATATAAGAAATTTGCCGAAAAGATAAAAACAGAAAGATGTTCTTCTTGAGTAAGAACTTTAGAATTTAGAGAGAAATTCTAACTTGCTTGAAGATAAGTGTATGTGTTCTTTTGTGTGTTGTAGATAGATGAAGTGCATGAGGAGAGCACTCAGCTATTTATACCCGTTGCATTAAATGCAAATCAGAAGGGTTAGAACACGCGTCAAGATTTAAGAGGAAAACTTGCCTTTTGCAACAGTGAATAGTATTATTGTCTATTCATGAGCAAACATCGTTTCATGGAGTTGGTGGGCACTAGAGTCGACTAGTCGGCTCCATTCAGTACTATACTCTTGAAAGGGTATGGGTTTGTCCTTTGTGTGTGGAAGGACAAGACAAAAACAATCGTGCATGTCAAGCTTCATTTGATCGCTGAATGTTGGAATAACGCTGGAGACCTAGAAAATAGGTTAGTTCTCCCATCATACTCATTTCTTTATGTGATCAGCAAACCGAAAACACAAAGAGGGATTAGTGGAATCAAATATAATATCATTGACATAAATTTTGACTAGAATAATATGACTTTTAACTTTCCTAAGAAATAAGGTCTGGTCAATCTTTCCACGGACAAATTTCTCAGAGATGAGAAATGAGGCGAGGGTATCATACTAGGCACGAGGGGCCTGTTTTTAACCCGTAAAGAGCTTTATCCAATCGATAAACATGATTTGGATACTTAGGGTCAAGAAACACTGGAGGTTGTTCAACATAAACTTCTTTTTGGAGTATTCCATTAAGGAAAACACTCTTTACATTTATTTGATAGACTTTAAAGTCTTTATGGGCAGCAAAGATTAGGAAGAGTCGAATAGCTTCGAGTTTAGCCACTGCTGCGAAGGTTTCGTCATAATCGATTCTTTCTTCTGTATATAACCCCTAGCAACAAGACGAGCTTTGTTACGGGTTACCACACCTTGTTCATATAACTTATTGCGATAAACCCATTTAGTACCTATCACAGTTTTGTCAGACGGACGTGGGACAATGTACTAGACTTTGTTCTCATCAAACTTAATGAGCTCCTCTTGCATGGCAATGACCCAGCTAGGGTCTGAGATAGCATCATTGATTTTATTGGGTTCAACTATAGAAAAAAAGTTGACAAAGAGACATATATTACCTAGACCACGTCGTGTCTGAATGCTTGCACTTGGATAACCAATAATTTGATGAAGTGGATGATCTTTTATCCATCGCTGAGCTGGTAGAAGATTGTCATATGAACATTGATGTTTAGGAACAAAAGATGAGGCTTCAGCTGTAGATTCTTCAACAATAGGTAGAATTACTAAAGGAGCCTCACTGAGATATTCAGCGAGTGATAGAGGTTCAGATGCTGAAGGCATTTCATTCACTGATTGATCAGTGTTTGAAGTAGAGGGAGAAATGCAACTAATGGTCATTGCAACGATCTTTAAAGAAGATTCACTTAGGTTATTAGTTGCAACTGGAATGATAAGTGGATCATCATCAGCTTCTAGAGTATCAACATTGAGTTGATTGCTGAAGGAAACTTCAGGTTGTCCAACATGAGAGAACATCCAGTTTTCTAATTCTTCGTCATCATCAATGATGGATTTAGACTTAGTTGATTGAGATTCATCAAAACTGACATGAATAGTGTCTTCTATGGTCTGTCGACGTTTGTTGAATACTCTGAAGGCTTTGGATACTGAAAAATATCCAATAAAGATTCCTTCATCAGCTTTGGGATCGAACTTTCCAAGTTGATCACGGTTGTTGAGAATAAAACACTTGCAATCAAATATATGAAGAAAGTTAAGAGAAGGCTTTCTGCTATGGAAGAGTTCGTAAGTTGTCTTTTTGAATCTCTTAACGATCAGTGACCGGTTTTGACTGAAATAAGCAGTATTGACAGCTCCAGCCCAGAAATGAGTGGGAAGATGAGATTTGTTGAGCATTGATCGAACAACCTCAATGATTGTTCGATTTCTCCTTTCAGCGACCCCATTTTGTTGTGGAGATATCATAGAAGAGAAGTTTGTGAGAGATTCCCATGTCTTCAAAGAAGCTATCCATAGTATTGTTTTTGAATTCAGTTCCATGGTCACTTCTGATAGATCGTACCTTAATATTGTTAAGTACTTCTATCTTTTTGATGAACAAGACAATTTCTTCAAATGCTTCACTTTTGGATCTAAGAAAGAAGATCCAAGTGTACCTGGAGTACTCATCAAAATAACAAGTGTATATTTCTTTCCAGCTATGGATTGTATGTTAACAGGACCAAAGAGATCCATGTGCAATAGCTGAAGTGGAGAGGTCACTGAAGAGTTTTGCTTAGACTTGAAGCTAGCTCTTGTCTGTTTTCCTTTTTCACATGCTGAGCAAAGAGATTCCTTTGCAAAGGTGTGTTGAGGAAGACCAGTGACGAGATCATTTTGAGACAGCTTACCGAATGTCTTGAAGTTAAGATGAGAAAGCCGTTTGTGCCACAACCAGTCGATATATGATAAAGCTTTTGAGAGAAAACAAACTGTTCTTAATAAGACAATAATCCATGTTGATGATATATACATTCTCTAGGCGAGAACCGGTTAGAGCAAACTTATCATCCTTGTCAAGGACGTAGCATGAATTCTTAGGAAAATTTACTGTGAAATCTTTATCACACAGCTGACTGATGCTAAGAAGATTGTGCTTCAGTCCTTCAATATATGCAACACGTTTAAAGGTAGTTTCATCATTGGTTAATACACCAAAACCTTTGGTATATCTTTTTTCCTTTCCTCCAAAGGTTACGAAAGGACCTCTTTCATCCTTGTAATCGATGAGCAGGGATTTGTCTCCAGTCATATGTCTTGAGCATCCACTATCGAGATACCAAATGCCTCTGACTTTTGCACACATAAACATATTAAGATTGCTTTGGTACCCATTTATATTTGGGTCCATCAGTGTTAGAGGCAACATCTACTGAAACTGAAGACTAATTGTCAAAAGATGGCTTCATTGAACCTGAAGAAGAGGCTTCAGTGGTAAGAGGAACAACAACACCTGACACTGAAGACTTAGAGTCATTAGTTGTCTTCACTAAGCTCGAAGAAGAAGCTTTAGTGGTTTTCTTCACTTTAGTCGTTTTTACAATCTTAGTGGCAGATTTCGCCTTGGTAGATTTATCAGCCTTGGCTACTTTCTTTCCCTTGGATGGAGGACCAGCCTTGGTGGTAGAAGGACACTTGCTGCAAAATGTGTAGTTTCACCACAGTGTCTACACCTCCTATAGCTGAAACCAGCTATAGGGCCACAAAGTACCAAAGGAACAGAAGAGGGACAAGCTCCAAGGATTCCCTTCTCATTTGTTCTAGGAGGAACAACTGAGGATTTAGAGTCCTTAGGTTAAACATTCACCTTGAGCTTAGACTTAGATTTCTGAGAAGATTCAGATATCTTGATCCCGAAGGAAGAAGAAGGTGCACAAGCTGAAGGAATATATCTTGATCTATGTGACTTGTCAGCCTTTTTAGGAAGAGGTGCATTGACATTGGATTTACCTTTGTCTTTGCGACCTGAACTCAAAGGAGTTCCTTCAAGATGA